CCCAGCCCGACTCTCCTGGGGAATCAGACAGCGCAGCCCTTAATTGCCCCCCGCGGGATTAATCATCAGCGGGGAACATGGGTATGGTTCGGCTTCGCCATGTATTTGTGGTGAGAACAATGAGCACGATGCTTTTACAGAGCGGGTGGGAGGCACGGAGGTCACGCGCGTGCAAGGTGGTCTGTCTGTCCGTCCGTCCGTCCACACCTCTGCAAAACACTCCTCTCCTTCCTCCTGCCCCTTCCTGGGACAGCAGCCTCCTTGCGTGAAGGTGTACGGTTATCTGCGTCGCAGTGATATTTTTTCCTTGGTTGTTTTTTTGGTTTTTTTAATGTATTTTTGAGGAAATACAACTGTCACGGTAATAAACACACATCACCTTGTACAATGGGAGTGGCTGGAGGAAGGATGGAGGCCGGGCAGCTCCGCTCGCCCCGGCCTGGTGGCAAGTACAACACACATCACCCGTCCTTGGGTGTCACCTCCCTGTCTGGCTTACAGCGCCGTCTGCGTCGTCTCCGCCGGGACGGAGCCGGAGCGGGTGGGAGGCACGGAGGTCACGCGCGTGCAAGGTGGTCTGTCTGTCCGTCCGTCCGTCCACACCTCTGCAAAACACTCCTCTCCTTCCTCCTGCCCCTTCCTGGGACAGCAGCCTCCTTGCGTGAAGGTGTACGGTTATCTGCGTCGCAGTGATATTTTTTCCTTGGTTGTTTTTTTGGTTTTTTTAATGTATTTTTGAGGAAATACAACTGTCACGGTAATAAACACACATCACCTTGTACAATGGGAGTGGCTGGAGGAAGGATGGAGGCCGGGCAGCTCCGCTCGCCCCAGCCTGGTGGCAAGTACAACACACATCACCCGTCCTTGGGTGTCACCTCCCTGTCTGGCTTACAGCGCCGTCTGCGTCGTCTCCGCCGGGACGGAGCCGTGCCCCTCCGCCGTCACCGTGCCGTACGATGTGTCGGCCACCTCCTCTTCTTTCAGTTTCTTGTAGGAAATATCCGTGTCTTCCTCCTCCCCCAGCGTGTCTTGTTTGTAGCTGTCTCTGCCGTACATCTTGTACGCCAGCACAAAGAGTCCCGCTTCGGCCGACTGAAAAAGCGCGTAAAGCAAGGGGAACATGTACATGCTCCCTATGAGCTCCGGGGGGAAGGTGAGTTTGAGGATGGCGGTGCAGAGCTGGACGTTTTGGCACCCTGTTTCCAGAGACACTGTTCTCCTGCAGTGCGGGGGCATTTTAAAGAGGGTGGCTAAGCCGTATCCCAAGGCGTACCCCGCTAGAGGCATCAGCACCGCAATGGCGTAGACGGAGGCGGGGATATGTGCCAGCAGATCCGGGCCCAGCATGGTCCCAGTCAGGATGAACAGGATCACCAGGGTCACCAAGAGTGACCAGAGGGAAATCTGGCAACAGATACAGACAGTGAGAAACAACACGGGGGTTATTAGTTTCAAGGGATCAGCACGGCAGGTAAAGGATTATTGCAGAGGCTAAAATGCAAATTGTGGTTGCGCCGCCCGTCCCGGGTTTGCTCCTGGCTCAGGTCTTTGGTGGTGTTTGATCGTATCCTGGGAAAGGAAGGGGCTGAGATCCCCCTCCATCATTTCGCTCTGGGGTGACTCGCTGCGAAACTAGAAATCCGGGGGCTTGTGCTCCGCTTTTCCTTTTATAATTAAGCTAATTTGTTTGCGTGTTTTAAGGAAGTGCGTGTGTGCCTGCGGGTTGGTGTCTCCAGCCCTGGGTCCAGCGGGAGCAGGAGGACAGCAGGATTCCAGGGAATGCCTCTGTGCCGGGGCTCGGGCTGTCTCCTGGAGTGCTGGGGGGGGGATAACCCACCCTCCCCTCACTTTCCATCTCCATCCCAGCTTTTAATGTCGACAATATGTCCTTATATCCCACTTAAGGAGCGGAATATGCTTGCATGAAGCTCCCATGGGTTGGGAGGGATCAGACAGGTTACTGCCATTGGAGCGTCCACCC